TTCTGAAAACTTGGTTCGGTATAAAATTACATTTTCTTTCAAGCTGGAGTGATCGGCACAGGGTTTAGGATTACAGGTTACAGAAGCACTATTCAGGATGACGTAAGAGAAAAAAATTGGCAAAAAGTGAATATTTGTAGCAACAGGAATGAAAAAACTGTCTCATGGTGTACATTTTATCGAAAAAAATAACTATAATTTCTGAAATACATGACTTAGATTTTTTTTATATTTTTCTGGTAACTAGTATGGCCTCGCCTATCAGAAAGTTTCGGCTTGACGTCGACTTCTGGGACACCCGATATAATAATAATATAATTCTTTTTTAAATGTTATTTATAAGAACATAATTCTTATAAATAACATTAACATTTATACTCTTTGGTTCTATGGTGTTGATGTAGTTAAGGTGCACTTTTGTTTGTATGACGTGTAAATGATAACCACAGTGTCTTTACTCTTTGATTCTTTAATTGCGACTGGCTATAAATTACAAGTTTGCGTACATATATTGTAGGAGAACGAACATTCCGCCCACCAAAGAACATTTAGTTCTTTCTAAATAATTCAAATTAACTAAGTGATACAAGCTAAACAATATTATAATTAACAACCAACAATCTACATAACTAAAATATTGTAACAAACAGAATCAAAATTAACAAACTGTTATGCTCACAAGAATGCTTTAAATTTTAGTTTAGTATTAAGATTTAGTGTCTATTGGCAAAGCACATAATTTTGTAACACTACATTTCACAATATTACAACCACTCTAACACTATACACTCTGGTGTGACCATCACTTCCCGGATGTTTATCCACGATACGTCCCAGACACCATTTACCAGGTGGCAGACCTTCACTCTTAACTAAAACTATATCTCCCAGTACAAACTCGCGCTGTTGTCTTTGCTACTTCGGGCGTTGTTGTAGTCTTGTCGGGTATTCCATCTGTCAACGTCTCCAGAAATCTCCCAGAAGTTTTTGAAGGTGCTGCCATCGTGTTAAGTTTGAAATTCGAGTGTCTTTCAGATCGACTGAAGGGACTATAATCGGAGCTTAACCAATTAAAAAGTGCCCAGGTGTTAATGGCTCAATAACTTCAGGATCATGTGTCTATTGGAACCAACGGTCGGGAATTCAGGCAAGCCTCGATTTGGCACAAAACGGTGATCATTTACTCAAAGGTAAGGTTTGAAGATAGGACACGCTTTAAATGGTACTTAGCGGATCTAACGCCAGCTTCCCATAGCCCTCCGAAATTTGGGCTGTAAGGCGGGATAAAATGCCACTGCGTGCCGTCTAACGCCAAGGTCTCAGCTATGTTCCCTTCAAAGGCCAAATCAGCTTCTCTCCAAGCTGCTTGTAGCTCTCTATCAGCACCGATGAAATTACGACCTTGGTCGCTCCACATATGAGCACATTTGCCTCTCCTCACCACGAATCTTCTAAACGCACCGACAAAGGCCTCGGATGTCAAGTCCCCAACCAATTCAAGGTGGATGGCCTTGGTTGACATGCATATAAAAAGAGCAATAATATGCCTTTCTTGTTTTCGCTCCTCTGCCTTTATTATTCAAAATTTGAAAAGGTCAACAAAAGTCAACTCCACTATTTAGAAATGCTCGAGCTGGTGTCACTCTTTCCTTAGGTAAGTCACCCATAACCTGTGTTCTAACTGTAGCTGCTTGTTTGGCACAGGTCAAACATTTGTGTATATGACTCTTAACCAATCCTTTCACTTTCAGGATCCAATATTTAGAACGAAGATAACATAATGTCAACTGGACACCACCGTGCATCGTATGGAAGTGAGCATCGGCGATAATTAAAGGCGTTAAGTAGTTCCTTGTACCCAGTATTATCGGATGTTTTCTTCTAGTTCAGAGTGACGACACACCCTGAGAATATCCACTTCGTCTAAAAAGGGATTCAGACTCTTCAAGTAACTGTTAGTTTTTACAGGCTTGTTGTCTTTTAATCTTTGAACCTCATCCGCAAATTCTTTATTTTGAACCAGTCTTATGCGTGCTTTCAATGACCTGTCCTGTCTTCTGTATTTAGTGGTTCTGGAATATTGTTTGTATTTTTCTTGTAATTTAAGTCTTCGACGATATGTGATTACCTTAAGCATTTCCTGTAGTGTCTCAAAGTTTTGTAACTGTTCTGTTAATTTCTTTTGTTTTGATTTTTCTTCTGCTTCTGTTTAATGTTAATATTTACTTGTATTTTAAAGTAAAAAGGGTTTTTTAGATGGTTTTTGTTCTTTTCATTTCTAAATCAGTTTCTTTCATTTGGTTGTTAGAAAATTGGATTTCCTTTTCCAGTAACCATGTTGGTCCTGCCCACCAGAGCTTACATGACTTCAACTCGGACAGTAGCATGCCTCTTGAGGCTATGTCTGCTGGATTGTTTTTTGAAACCACATGATGCCATCTATTGTAGTGTACATTCTCCACTATTTCGACCACGCGATGCGCTACAAACAGTTTCCATTTGTGAGGATCTCCTGCGAGCCAAGCAAGAACAATTGGTGAGCCTGTCCAGGCAAACATTTGTGATGGTGGTATTTTCATTGCCTGTGCCACTTGCTCGAGTACACGAGACAGCAGCAACGCACCGCATAATTCCAATCTAGGTAGCGAGATAGTTCGTAACGGTGCAAATCTGGTTCTGGCAGCGATCAATTTTGTTTTGATTGTTCCGTCTTCGGCTTTGATCCTAGCATATAAAATCGCAAAAGACATGAATTTGTAAGTTGTCGCTTATTTTACTCGTTGTGCCAATCCACTTATCGACTTCAATCTCAATGACTTGTTGGAAGTTGTTTGTTGAGCCTGAATCTTAGAGCCGCCTTTTCGCTTATAAATGAAGCCTGCGATCCTTGGTCTATGAGCGCCCTTAATATCATGGAGTAATTTTGCTCACTTCGAACGCTCACCATAGCGGTTGCTAATAATGCAATGCCTAGTTAGTGGTATGATGTGACGCTATCATTGAATTGACTAGAATGCCTTCCCTCTCTTCTAGGTTGCAATGTGATGCTGATTGGTGTGATGTTTCTTTGCTATTGATTTCTTTCCTTTCAGCTTGGGGTAGAAGAGAATGATGACGTCTATTGCAAATACGACAGAACATACAGAGTCGACATTTATGAGCCGCATGTCCCGGTACTAAACAGTTGAAACACAATTTGTGTATTTTCACATAATGCGCTCTTTGTGAAGGTTGCAGGTTGCAGGTTGGTAAATTCTTTGCAGTGACATAACGTGTGGTTATCCTTGCACATAATACATTTCTTCTCCGATGACCGCGGCGAGGCTGACGTCGACGATTCACTAGACTTTTCTTATGAATCGGTGCTAACGTGGAAAGATCGCTCCTTAATGGTCTTCTCTCGTGGGCCTGATGAAATAAGTTCTAATGTTCGATATCTTGATTGAAGAAATTTCTTTAAGTCGCTCCACATCGGTAAATCTTCAGACTCATTTTTATAGGCATATTCTTCCCACTCTTTATGAGACTCTTGGTCCATTTTCTGCACAACGAGAAAAATTATAATAGGATCCCAAGAATCAACACTAATAGACAAGTTCTTTAAATTATTTAAACACTTAGTCATTGTGTCTAATAAACATTTTAATTGATTTGCTGATTGAGAGTTAATTTTCCTGTGAAGAAACAATCTTCTTAGCACTGAGTTGACAATTAAACGTTTATTACCGTATCTTGTTTTTAACACTTCCCACGCCTGCGAATAATTTTTGTGAGTAACTTGTATATGTCGTATTAATGATGCCGCTTCACCACTTACACTTGATTTTAAATAATGTAATTTTTGTACGTCTTCGATCGTCTTGTTGTTATGTATAAGTAAAGTAAACAAATTTTTTTTTTTTATAGAAGAGGGGGCAAACGAGCATGCGGCTCACCTCATGTTAAGTGACTACCGCCGCCCATGATCAACCGCAACACCAGGGGAATTGCAGGTGCGTTGCCGGCCCTTTAGAAAGGAGTAAGCTCTTTTCTTGAAGGTCCCCAGGTCGTATCGGTCCGGAAAAATCACCGGTGGTAAATTATTCCACAGAGAGGTTGTACGCGGAAGAAAACTCCTTTTGAAACGTACAGCGGTGGACCGCCAAGCATCCAGATGGTGTGGATGGTATCGGGACGTTTGCCGTGTAGTGCGTTCACGAAATTTGGCGGCTGGGATTAATCCGAACAATTCCTCAGAGCACTCCCAAAGCACTTACAAATCTTCAAAGGTCGGCCATTCTTCGTAATTGCCACTAAATGTTGGTAATTGAATTCTCGGCAGCTTCACAAGGGAATTTTCGCTTCTTATTTGTTCCATATTATGCTCGGAGGCGGAGGTATTACCCGACGTTGTTGACGAATTTACAGAAGTTAACAGTGACGTAGATCGGCTTGTAAAACGATGTATAAATCTTCATATATGTATAAATCTTCATTAAGAAAGTAAGGTAAAACTCCCCTTTTTTTCCATTGGCGTAATCCTTAATAACTCTTGATGCACCTGCTTAAATGAATTCCAATAATCGTCTATTGTTTTTAATCTTGTTTCAATATATCCCTTTGTAAGACGCGTCTTTGGACATTTCTTCAAGTTGGTTTGTGTTTTCTTAAGTAAAGCAGCAATATCTTCTAAAGCGGGAGGGAGCGGCCAACGCTCCATGTCCGATAGTTCGGAGCTGTTCTATATATACTGTTTATGATTCGGAACTTTGATAGTGTGATTTAGGCTTCGGTGTGTTTCGCCCGCGGCGCGACGACAGCGCCGCCCCAATTTAATGAATTAAGCATGTAATGACATGTATGTATGTATGTATGTGTGTGTGTGTGTGTGTGTGTGTGTGTGTGTGTGTGTGTGTGTGTGTGTGTGTGTGTGTGCGTGTGTGTGTGTGTGTGCGTGTGCGCGCGCGCGCGTTGTGTGTGTGTGTGTGTGTGTGTGTGCGTGCGTACGTGCGGCTACTCACGCGGAAGGTGTAGTGGAGGCCGCGGCGCAGCTGCAGGTCGGGCGCCAGCTGCCCGTTCACGTACCAGGCGAGCGCTGGCGCGCCCCCTGCCCCGCGGCCCGCCAGCCCACGCGCGCCCGCCGCGGGGCCCAGGGCGCAGCGGAACACGCGCAGCGCCGGGTCGAACAGCTCGGCGCGCTCCCACGCACGCACGCCCGCCCGCTCGCCGCTGCACATGCGAGTACGGCGTGGTGGCGGAGTGAAGCACCCCATCACCACATGAACACGAATTATAAGCAACCGCACAGTTCACATGATGCTAAGTATATTCTGTGGCCATTATGAGTTTACATCTGGACCCAATTAAAATCAAAATGTAAATGCGTTGTCACCACTTAGAACTAAGTTGAAATGCTTCGTTTCTAGTAAACACTTTTAATTACGTATTATGAATTTAGTTCTAGAAAAAACTTTCCAGGTCTCTAAGCTTACAATATGTAACAGCAGCATTAAACTACTGTTTGACGCTGGTATTCTGTAAGAACGTGATCCTTCCCCGATCAAACGAGCGCTTTCGTCTGAAGCTTGGTTCTACTAAATTAAAAACACCCATCTCGTACAAGTCGGATAAGTAATTTTATCATTTTCTTTTCTTCAACTCGTAAAAATAAACTGCTCAATATAAACCCCAATTATCACATGTGGCAAATGATTATTGTGTCAACTTTGACGTTGCTACTCATTACCGATGGCATATTCCAAAACGTTTCCAGTATACTGCCGAATACAAATGACGTCATCAATTAACACCGTATTGTACCGGCATGCCGCCGCTGTATTGTGTCGGATATCCGGCCATATTAAAACAATTTTAATTTGTGTACGCTGAATGAAGCATGCCAGAATTTGTTTTTATTTATTCAAATACAAAAAATTCTAGAATAATTGCTTATATCTCCATTAGGAGGATATAATGATTTTTGGAGCACAAAATTACAAAATAATCGCCAACACTTCGAATGTGGCGCAAATGTATGACGTCATATACTGTCCTATGTTTTGGAACGAATCACCAGTATGGCAACGATTCATGACGTCATTTGCATTGGACAGTACACTGGGTTCTACTTTGGAACATATCCTACATCTAGCGTATACGATATAGTGGCAATGCCATCTATCGACAGCCATAAGAGTTATCTGTAATTTCTTACAACCGCCTCTTACGACAGCCACGAAATCAAATGGGATAATGATTTCTTTTAGGTAACTATATTTTGTTTATAAAAGAGATTTATTTTAAAAGAGGTAACAGCGGGAATACAAGATAAAGATTTCGTAAATTTTTCATACATAATCACACTAACGGCAGTTTTTTCTCTCGGTTATATATAGCTCAGTAAATATTTTTAAAAATTTTACAATTTTTTTGTCATAAACTACCAATTGTTACACATAAACATATCGATTGATTAATTGTTGCGCAAAATAATAATTTTAGATAATTATTACAATTGATAAAACAGATAAGCCTATATGCCCCTGCTTAATCTAACAGCTGACTAAAGGAGAGCTTTAGGGCACTAAGTAATATTATGTAAGTAAATAAATAAGCCCAATCCCTCACATGACAAAGTCAAAGCAGTCATTCTCGGGAGGATTCTCCATCAGTTTCACCATGACATCCGAGCGGTGATAGAGTCTGTGGTAGGCGGGTTCGCCCTCGTGGTCCAAAGAACCGATGGCCCACACGATGTACTGCGGACCTTCGGTATTCCACGCACGGTCCATTGTCTCGTCTGCAATACACAAATTATAGGAAATTAATATTCAACTTAAGAGCACTCTTACATTTCTGCGTTACGTAAAGAATCATGTCCAGTCTTGACCTGGAAATTTTCTATCACGTCTAGTGATGTAAAATATCTTATAAAATTGCATTTATTTAATTTCGTATCGCATAATTGAATTTTCAAATAAAGCCCGGATAAAAAATTATGTTACTTTGTTTATCATTCTTAATAGACTTTTGGAGACGGAACGCTGTTTTACAATGGCTTAAAAGCCCAGAAGCCATGCCAAAATATATTAAAAACGTGTTTTACACGTTCCGTTTCAGACTACGAAAAACTTGCTCAATCGTCATGTGGTTTATGAATGTTCAAAATAACCCTAATTTTTTTATAATTAATTAATTTATGATTAGATACGATTTTTAATGATTTTGTACTATGGTGTGGAAAGAAAAATAAGAGTTATCTGACTGTGAGTTTAATTAACAGCATTTTTCCCTGGCCTCTAAATGAAAAGATGATAAGTTATTATGTTATTATACACAATAATTGTTTTTATACAACAGTAGTTGTAGGTAGACGCGACCTGTTAAAGGAATCAAGTGACAGGTCATTCAATGTATGGAAAGTGGGCATGATTCTTTAGGTATTTTACGCTCCGAGCGGGCAACGACGTACGCGAGCGATACTTTATTTCATATCTATTCACTCGCTCGCACTATGATCTTGATCCTCCATTATACAAGTTTTCTTAGAATAGAGTTCAGTGGATGGAAAATTTTTGGTGTATCATTTTTATGTTATCTAATTAATTTATTATAATCTATTTGAATTTTTCCATTATTTATGAAACTTAGTGTTGGAACTGAGAACACATAAATAGTTTAATTGTTTCGCAGTAATCGATTGTTAACCGATGTTTCTTAATAATCGGTTATATCTACTAACTATAAATAAATAAATAGTACGGTTGCAACCTATTTTAATAAATAAAATAACCAACTGTAACTAATATTTTTTTAATCGGTACTTAAAGTTAAATACCATATTTTTTATTATAAAAATATTTGCCGCAACGGCATTGACCGAGCTTATCTCGAGTCAATAATTTCAGGCAGGATACACTTGTTATAAAACGCTTGTAACTTGGGTAACATATTCAAAATCCAAAATTTGTCGTCTTTGTAGATTTTTTACTACTTTTACTGCATACTCTGGGCCAGATATAGGATATTTCCTTTTTACATTTAGTGAAACATTGATACTTTTATTTATTTTTCGCTATTCCGACTGGTAAGAAAGCTCAGCTACAATCAAAACAACTATAATGAGTTAACTATATCGTATAATAATAATGTGCGAACTTTATACTAATTGAAATATACCGTACTAAAGTAAATACTTCCAACGATTAAAAACTGCGGGCGTAGTTGACGATGCTCTAGCACGCACCAAATAGCAGCGTCTCGGCAATCGACGTACACTGCGATAATATCGAAACGAGACGGCGTGCTAATCAAATGACTCAGGTCCAATGTTGATAGCCGCTCGCGCGGTAATGCTTTCAGATGGCCGGCGCAGGTAAATATATTGTAGTTTTATTTAATTAAATAAAAATTATAGTAACGATTTAAAAAGTAAAAATCATAGTATATTTCAAGCAAATGTTGATGAGTATTTTGGTACAAAATTTACATTAAAATGATTAAAACTTCGGAGATATTGGGGCTTGTATCGAAACTTTTAATTGAATTATGTAGATTTTTCCCTTACGTTAAAGGAATATAACGAAAATATATTCTATGATTATTAAAATATAGGATACTAGGGAGATAAAAATATTTTAAAGTGAAAACTTCTTTAGCGGCGTTGTACACTTTTTTGTAATGGGTAAAAAATGTTAAACTCGCGCCAGGACACGTGACCTGATCGAAAATTCGTAAGACGGACGGCGTAAGAGAGGAAGTATCCCCCTCTCTTTCTACGGCGCGGCGAAAATGTATGCCTGCGCCAGCTGTTTCGTTTAGGCGGCGCAGGGCGCTTGCGCGAATGTAATATAAATTATCATGTTTGTGTACGATAGCGCAATAAATACATATTGTATTCTACCACATAAATGATAGTACTTTTATACTGATAATTAAAGCAATTCGTGAAAAATGATTCCTTAACCATTCCAAAATATCAAAAATGCACAACGTTAATATTCAAGTTTTCACTTCTGCCGGCACTCCCGGAGTGCAACCCGTCGTCTTTTTTTGATGGTTGATATTTAATAGTCTACAAATTAGAGCTTCCAAACCATGTCTCTCAGAGTTTTGGCCTAAACATGCACCGAAAGAATGATGACTACTGAATAAATAAATAAGTTATCTAAAATTTGCTCTGAATTTATTGTAGTGGAGAAAACGAACTATTTCTACCAAGTAATTGTTATTTTAAGCAACGAACGGAAAACATATAATTTTAACGAGGAAACCTAGTAATTTCCCGGTTTTTTGTAATACTCCTCTCAATACAAGTAAGGGTAACAATCAGTCCACCTGACGCTGAAGTGGATGCTGTGACCCATAGAAATCTATATTTATAATGCGGGAGAGTTGGAAAAAGGTCTCCGGTTCTTGTCACTCCCTGCTGGCGTTGAACACCTGGTGTTTGTTGAGGCCGCCGCTGCTTTCTAGGACACTAGCGACACTACCGACACTAGCGACACTCACCCGACTGCAGACTGCGCCGGTAGGTGAGCAGGGTGAGCCCGTCCTCCCTGCTGGCGCTGAACACCTGGTGGTTGTTGAGGCCGCCGATGCTTTCTAGGACACTAGCGACACTACCGACACTAGCGACACTCACCCGGCTGCAGACTGCGCCGGTAGGTGAGCAGAGTGAGCCCGTCCTCCCTGCTGGCGCTGAACACCTGGTGGTTGTTGAGGCCGCCGATGCTTTCTAGGACACTAGCGACACTACCGACACTAGCGACACTCACCCGGCTGCAGACTGCGCCGGTAGGTGAGCAGGGTGAGCCCGTCCTCCCTGCTGGCGCTGAACACCTGGTGGTTGTTGAGGCCGCCGATGCTTTCTAGGACACTAGCGACACTACCGACACTAGCGACACTCACCCGGCTGCAGACTGCGCCGGTAGGTGAGCAGGGTGAGCCTCGTCGTCCCTGCTGGCGCTGAACACCTGGTGGTTGTTGAGGCCGCCGCTGCTTTCTAGGACACTAGCGACACTAACGACACTAGCGACACTCACCCGGCTGCAGACTTCGCCGGTAGGTGAGCAGGGTGAGCCCGTCCTCCCTGCTGGCGCTGAACACCTGGTGGTTGTTGAGGCCGCCGCTGCTTTCTAGGACACTAGCGACACTAACGACACTAGCGACACTCACCCGGCTGCAGACTGCGCCGGTAGGTGAGCAGGGTGAGCCCGTCCTCCCTGCTGGCGCTGAACACCTGGTGGTTGTTGAGGCCGCCGTTGCGTTCGTCGTGACACACGCCAACCCACTGCCCAAGGACTCGCACGCACTGTGAAAATGTATCAAACGATGGTTTTAATTGTATCTTCTTTTTTTTCATGATCTTTTTTGGATTATGGTACGTTCATTAATAACATAAGCAAGATTTGATGAAGATTAATAACAATTAGTAATTCTTTTATTTTAGGACTCCGATCCGAATTTTGGTTATTTACACTAGCCAATTATAGTTAAACATGAAAGACATATATACGTACATTTTTATTACAAGTATAAGAAACGTAAACAAAGAAAATAGTTCTCACCGGTGCAAGAGCAGTAATATTATAATCGCCGACGACTCCCTGTCGGAGCGTGGTGTTGAAATAAGCCACCGCCACGTCCGCTCCTAGCATCTGAGAATGCGTGTCGTTACCAGATATCCCAAAAGCCATGTACTCGTTTTCGCCAATCTAGAATTTTGGACAACAATATCAATTTTAGAAATCATCTCATATTAAATACATTATAAACATTAACACTAACCTGTGCAGCGAGTTGTATAGTGATTTGGTTTCCAAAAACCTCCCATGAGACTTGGTAATCTCTGTGTAGTTGTTTGCAATGCGGCAGTTTAGATCTGAAATCGAGAAACTTTGAGGTAAAACCATTTAGTACTACCACACGCCAGTAGATTGTGCAATTTATAATTGTGTGTGTGTGTGTGTGTGTGTGTGTGTGTGTGTGTGTGTGTGTGTGTGTGTGTGTATGCGCTTGCAGCCAGGTCACTAACCGGAGCGGGTGTATGTCGACCGTGGCGGGCACTACAGTTGTGTGTGTGTGAGTGAGCTTGCGGCCAGGTCACTGACCGGTGCGGGTGTATGTCGAGCGTGGCAGGCACCACAGTTGTGTGTGTGTGAGTGAGCTTGCGGCCAGGTCACTTACCGGTGCGGGTGTATGTCGACCGTGGCGGGCACCACAGTTGTGTGTGTGTGAGTGAGCTTGCGGCCAGGTCACTTACCGGTGCGGGTGTATGACGAGCATGGCGGGCACCACAGTTGTGTGTGTGTGTGTGTGTGCGCTTGCAGCCAAGTCACTGACTGGTGCGGGTGTATGACGAGCGTGGCGGGCACCGCAGTTGTGTGTATGAGTGCGCTTGCGGCCGGGTCACTGACCGGTGCGGGTGTATGACGAGCGTGGCGGGCACCGCAGTTGTGTGTGTGTGAGTGCGCTTGCGGCCAGGTCACTGAACGGTGCGGGTGTATGACGAGCGTGGCGGGCACCACAGTTGTGTGGGTGTGAGTGCGCTTGCGGCCAAGTCACTGACCGGTGCGGGTGTATGACGAGCGTGGCGGGCACCACAGTTGTGTGTGTGTGTGTGTGCGCTTGCAGCCAAGTCACTGACTGGTGCGGGTGTATGACGAGCGTGGCGGGCACCGCAGTTGTGTGTGTGTGAGTGCGCTTGCGGCCAGGTCACTGACCGGTGCGGGTGTATGACGAGCGTGGCGGGCACCACAGTTGTGTGGGTGTGAGTGCGCTTGCGGCCAGTTCACTGGCCGGTGCGGGTGTATGACGAGCGTGGCGGGCACCACAGTTGTGTGTGTGTGTGTGTGTGAGTGCGCTTGCGGCCGGGTCACTGACCGGTGCGGGTGTATGACGAGCGTGGCAGGCACCACAGTTGTGTGTATGTGAGTGCGCTTGCGGCCAGGTCACTTACCGGTGCGGGTGTATGACGAGCGTGGCGGGCACCACAGTTGTGTGTGTGTGTGAGTGCGCTTGCGGCCAGGTCACTTACCGGTGCGTGTGTATGACGAGCGTGGCGGGCACCACAGTTGTGTGTGTGTGTGAGTGCGCTTGCAGCCAGGTCACTTACCGGTGCGGGTGTATGACGAGCGTGGCAGGCACCACAGTTGTGTGTGTGTGTGGAGTGCGCTTGCGGCCAGGTCACTGACCGGTGCGGGTGTATGACGAGCGTGGCGGGTACCACAGTTGTGTGTATGTGGAGTGCGCTTGCGGCCAGGTCACTTACCGGTGCGGGTGTATGACGAGCGTGGCGGGCACCACAGTTGTGTGTGTGTGTGAGTGCGCTTGCGGCCAGGTCACTTACCGGTGCGTGTGTATGACGAGCGTGGCGGGCACCACAGTTGTGTGTGTGTGTGAGTGCGCTTGCGGCCAGGTCACTCACCGCTGCGGGTGTATGACGAGCGTGGCAGGCACCACAGTTGTGTGTGTGTGAGTGCGCTTGCAGCCAGGTCACTTACCGGTGCGGGTGTATGACGAGCGTGGCGGGCACCACAGTTGTGTGTGTGTGTATGTGTGTGAGTGCGCTTGCGGCCAGGTCACTGACCGGTGCGGGTGTATGACGAGCGTGGCGGGTACCACAGCCGTGTGTGTGTGAGTGCGCTTGCGGCCGGGTCACTGACCGGTGCGGGTGTATGACGAGCGTGGCGGGCACCACAGATGTGTGTGTGTGTGTGTGTGTGCGTGTGCGTGCGTGTGTGTGTGTGTGTGAGTGCGCTTGCGGCCAGGTCACTGACCGGTGCGGGTGTATGAAGAGCGTGGGGGGCACGACAGTTGTGTGTGTGTGTGTGTGTGTGTGTGTGTGGGGTGCGCTTGCGGCCAGGTCACTGACCGGTGCGGGTGTATGACGAGCGTGGCGGGTACCACAGATGTGTGTGTGTGTGTGTGTGTGTGTGCGCTTGCGGCCGAGTCACTGACCGGTGCGGGGGGTATTACGAGCGTGGCGGGCACCACAGTTGTGTGTATGGGTGTGTGTGTGTGTGAGTACGCTTGCGGCCAGGTTACTGACCGGTGCGGGTGTATGACGAGCGTGGCGGGCACCACAGTTGTGTGGGTGTGAGTGCGCTTGCGGCCAGGTCACTGACCGGTGCGGGTGTATGACGAGCGTGGCGGGAACCACAGTTGTGTGTGTGTGTGTGAGTGCGCTTGCAGCCAGGTCACTTACCGGTGCGGGTGTATGACGAGCGTGGCAGGCACCACAGTTGTGTGTGTGTGTGTGAGTGCGCTTGCGGCCAGGTCACTGACCGGTGCGGGTGTATGACGAGCGTGGCGGGTACCACAGTTGTGTGTATGTGAGTGCGCTTGCGGCCAGGTCACTTACCGGTGCGGTTGTTTGACGAGCGTGGCGGGCACCACAGTTGTGTGTGTGTGTAGTGCGCTTGCGGCCAGGTCACTTACCGGTGCGTGTGTATGACGAGCGTGGCGGGCACCACAGTTGTGTGTGTGTGTGAGTGCGCTTGCGGCCAGGTCACTCACCGCTGCGGGTGTATGACGAGCGTGGCAGGCACCACAGTTGTGTGTGTGTGAGTGCGCTTGCAGCCAGGTCACTTACCGGTGCGGGTGTATGACGAGCGTGGGCACCACAGTTATGTGTGTGTGTGTGTGTGTGTGTGCACGCGCGCTTGCGGCCTGGTCACTGACCGGTGCGGGTGTATGACGAGCGTGGCGGGTACCACAGCCGTGTGTGTGTGAGTGCGCTTGCGGCCGGGTCACTGACCGGTGCGGGTGTATGACGAGCGTGGCGGGCACCACAGATGTGTGTGTGTGTGTGTGTGTGCGTGTGCGTGCGTGTGTGTGTGTGTGTGAGTGCGCTTGCGGCCAGGTCACTGACCGGTGCGGGTGTATGAAGAGCGTGGCGGGCACCACAGTTGTGTGTGTGTGTGTGTGTGTGTGTTGGGTGCGCTTGCGGCCAGGTCACTGACCGGTGCGGGTGTATGACGAGCGTGGCGGGTACCACAGATGTGTGTGTGTGTGTGTGTGTGTGTGCGCTTGCGGCCGAGTCACTGACCGGTGCGGGGGTATTACGAGCGTGGCGGGCACCACAGTTGTGTGTATGGGTGTGTGTGTGTGTGTGAGTACGCTTGCGGCCAGGTCACTGACCGGTGCGGGCGTATGACGAGCGTGGCGGGCACCACAGTTGTGTGTGTGCCAGGTCACTGACTGGTGCGGATGTATGACGAGCGTGGACACCACAGTTGTGTGTGTGTGTGTGCGCTTGGGGCCGGGTCACTGACCGGTGCGGGTGTATGACGAGCGTGGCGGGCACCACAGTTGTGTGGGTGTGAGTGCGCTTGCGGTCAGGTCACTGACCGGTGCGGGTGTATGACGAGCGTGGCGGGCACCACAGTTGTGTGGGTGTGAGTGCGCTTGCGGTCAGGTTACTGACCGGTGCGGGTGTATGACGAGCGTGGCAGGCACCACAGTTGTGTGTGTGAGTGCGCTTGCGGCCAGGTCACTGACCGGTGCGGGTGTATGACGACGTGGCGGGCACCACAGTTGTGTGTGTGTGTGAGTGCGCTTGTGGCCAGGTCACTTACCGGTGCGGGTGTATGACGAGCGTGGCGGGCACCACAGTTTTGTGTGTGTGTGTGAGTGCGCTTGCGGCCGGGTCACTGACCGGTGCGGGTGTATGACGAGCGTGGCGGGCACCACAGTGTGTGTGGGTGTGAGTGCGCTTGCGGTCAGGTCACTGACCGGTGCGGGTGTATGACGGAGCGTGGCGGGCACCACAGTTGTGTGGGTGTGAGTGCGCTTGCGGTCAGGTCACTGACCGGTGCGGGTGTATGACGAGCGTGGTAGGCACCACAGTTGTGTGTGCTGAGTGCGCTTGCGGCCAGGTCACTGACCGGTGCGGGTGTATGACGAGCGTGGCGGGCACCACAGTTGTGTGTGCGTGTGTGAGTGCGCTTGCGGCCAGGTCACTGTCCGGTGCGGGTGTATGACGAGCGTGGCGGGCACCACAGTGTTGTGTGTGTGTGTTGTGTGTGTGCGCTTGCGGCCGGGTCACTGACCGGTGCGGGTGTATGACGAGCGTGGCGGGCACCACAGTTGTGTGTGTGGCGCGCGCGTGTGTGAGTGGTGCGCGTTTGCGGCCAGGTCACTGACCGGTGCGGGTGTATGACGAACGTGGCGGGCACCACAGTTTTGTGTGTGTGTGTGTGTGTGTGTGTGTGTGTGTGTGGCGGCCACAGTTGTGTGCGCGTGCGTGCGCGCTTGTGGTCAGGTCACTGCCCGGTGCGGGTGTATGACGAGCGTGGCGGGCACCACAGTTGTCGCGCGGCGGTTGTTTTTTGTGTGTGTGTGTGCGCTTGCGGTCAGTTCACTGACCGGTGCGGGTGTATGACGAGCGTGGCGGGCGGTACGTTGAGTGCGGCGGGCAGCAACACGGAGGCCAGCGCAGTTTTCTCGCGCGCGTCCCACACGGCGACCCAGTCCACCTCGAACACTGTGCGTCCGCCCGGCAACTCCAGTTGGACGTCTTCGCCTTTGTACGCGCGGAGTGGCTCCAGGCTGAGTATTTTATAGTTTTTAGTCATGTAGAAAGAATGAATGATGAAAGAGTGACAAAGCAACATTTATATGGCAGATGTGAACGGCATAGTCGGGAAGAGGGTCCTAGACGAAAGTTTAACGACCAAATTGGCGATATTTGAAAAAAAATTGAAAATGGGCCACATTAGAAATAAACCCTTAACTGACAAGCGTGTATGCGTAGATATATGGATGTAAAGGAGGCGAGGGAGCTATGTCAGGATCGTGCCAAATGGAACTCCATAGTCTCTGCCTTCCCCTCTGGGTGGCAGGCGTGAGTGTTTATGTAATGTAAAGTTAAGGTTACAGCCTATACACGTCCCACTGCTGGGTACAGGCCTCTTCTTATTTTTAAGATGGTTTTAGGACAAGAAAGCGCGTGCTGCCCCAATCCAGCTTGCGAATTTCACATGTCTCTGATTATTTTTTCTTATAATCAGACGTGCAGGTTTCCTCACGTTTTTCTTCACCACTGTGCACATAGTAAATCAGCACTCAAAATTCCAATTAATAATTTCATTGGTGCCGGCGGAGATCGAACCCGGATTGCTCGGGTTCTATGAAAATTTTGAACCGATATGGATATTTTAAATCTACGAATATTAGGAACGTTAAAATTTTTAACAATTTTCAATTTTCTCACTGAAATCCTTTTCTACATATCTAATACTTTGATACTCACTATCCGTATTCGTTGGGTATGATGGTACCTCTAGAAGAAGGTTGCGGACCGACCCCAGTCCAGAAGTACACTTCTTCCCCGCTGCCGTCGTATCGGAATTCGGGAATGCTGTAAAATAGTGTTACAAAATATATATTAGAAATAAATAAAACATTCAATATAAGTTTTTGCTTACATGTTTGTATATATTACGAAACAATAAAACGAGATAAAAATCGTAAAGTTTAGAAAATTACTTAATTAACGTGAATGTGATATAGAATAGGAATAAGGGTGGTTCAAAAATGTTGCCCCACGGTACCCCAAAAGAGACACTTTTACTTTTCTTCTATTTTAGTTGTAAAATGAAATCGAAATCTTTAGATATATATACTCGTATCTACATAAATGTTACAATAATTAACTCCTTGAGATACAATACTACTTGATAATGATGATGATCCAGAAAATATTATAGTGTAAAACGTGCTTGAGCATACAAAGATAAATTCCATCATATAAATCAACGCGTTACGCTTTATGCCATTTTTCTAAGGTATAAGTATTAGCAACATGATCTCAATTGTACTAACACGGTTTCTTTATATGTTTTAAAAACTTACAAGCACTGTTAAGAGAGAAAGTGAGACACAAAGAGAGTAGCACTTACATGAAGGTGCATGCATCGAGGAAACGGACGGGCTTACTGGAGATCGATACTCCAGGCGCAGCTGCCATAGCTCCCACGTTACGCGGTGAAGGAGCCTCGAAGTCATCGGGTACGTAAACATCACCAAATGCATTCTGAGTGTTGACGTCATAAACGGCCAGCCATTTAATACGCGATATACGTTTCCCCTCTGGCAACCGTAATCGAACATCCATATTGTTGTAGCGCTCTAGGATGTTTGTCCTGGCAAGTTAATTGAAAGATAAAAATGTGAAAAACATCCAACGTACAATATAAAATACTCTTTATTAAACATTAAGTAAATATTAATATAATAAAAATAAACACATCTCATAAATAAAAACAAAAGGTCTTAATATCATACTGGTAATAGAACAGTATAACTGGGGTGAGGGTAACATTATAAGTTTTACCAGCCTGCGGAAAGTACAAATGTTCCATTCAATCAAGAATCCCGTTCCAGTTCCAAGAATCAAGTATTTAATTATATTCTACCGCATCATCAATAGTAAAGGTTGCACAAACGAGAGTGACCCCACTTTTGGAAGACTGTCGCAGCGTTCTCTCCCCGAACGAAATGGTCAAGGCAAGGAAGTTTTTACTCAAGTATGCCGATGTATTCTCATCAAACGATGCTGACATAGGAAAGACTGGCTTAGTTCAATACAAAATAAACACAGGAGAAGAATTACCTATCCGTCAGCGGCCAAGAAGATTGCCGGTAGCACGTGAAAAGGAAGTAGAAACCACAGAGTACAAGTAGTAGGTCTACAGTCAAAAGTCAAAAAGTTTAACCACCACATGGCTGTGGTATCACCCTAAAAGACTTTATAGTTGGTAGAATTATAATCTTACTGCATGCGATAGGCTTCCTTTTATTTTTCAAAGGGAGACGTGAATTTAAAAATATTTGCCACTTAAGCGTCCTTTTGGAAGAGGAGGCCAAATTGGCCTTCTCTTCCAATTGATCACGATTTGCCTTTGAAAAGATGGAGATATCATCAATACCATCTGAATGTGCCATCAACACTGTGCGATTTACACGAAGTTTCCTTCCTCGACATTACACTCGATTTACACAATTTCCTTGTGGAATCAACTACCACCAGCGATTTTTCCGGACCGATACGACTTAGGGACCTTCAAGAAAAAAGTCTACTCTTTTTTAAAAGGTCGGTAAAACATCTGCAATTCCCCTTGTGCTGTAGATGAACCACATGCTCGTTTGCCCCCTCTCATATAAAAAATGTATTGTAGTGTAGTGCTCCCACGTTAATATACTTTAGTGTTAAGGTAAAATAATGAGGCAGTCTAATTAAAGTTTTAGTACCAACCAAACGTCTCCTTCATTAACACCTTTCCTATATTACATAGCGACCCTGCCAGGATAACATAACTATAGAAAAAAAAAGAAAAATAATTATAACTTATAATAATAGAGATTTTTAAGCCATTTTAAAATTGTATAAATAAAATTTACGACAAAAAAGAATCACACGAAATGTAGCATCAGTGTTATGTTAACCACAAACTATTATATTATATATCATATCATATATATCATATTATTTTATTTCATTCATGTTTTGCAGGAAACAGTAATAAAAATAATATAAAACTATAAATGAATAAAAGTGAATATAAATCAAGTGTTAGATGAATGATTAAAATGTAACTTAATTTTTAATTATTGCATTATGCTTATTTTTTGTAATAAATTACTATGCTTTTGTAAATTAATAATGTCACAAAAATATATGTTTTGACCACTTGACGTTTATACTGACAGTTAAAGATACCATGACAGTAAGCCATTACTATTCTTATTTTGATAGCATTTTATTGTTTTGTTACAGCTGTGAGTTAAGCGGGCTACATACGACACGATATCGGTGGCGATCTAGGGTGGAAAGAAATCGGGGCTTTTATCGGGGTAGACCTTACACACGGGCCTGCCTAGCAGTACGCGTTCGGACTTGGAGCGGAATGCATATGCGGTAGAGTTCTTCAAAATACCTCCGACTCTCTTAAAACACCACCGTGTTGGTTTGGCATTAGCCATCTCGGTTAATTTATTCGAAAATAGAAAAAGAGAAGTTGCTGGGTGAAAAAATGGCTCCAAAAGAGATAAAAATTAAGCCACATAAACGTACTAAATGGCCTGTAATCCAAGGACGTGATTAATTTTCTCCGGATGGATGAAGACAGTTTTTATAACCTTCTAGAAATGATTTCGCCACTTATATAAAAACGTCAATTTCTCCTACCTATGCTATTTAGTTATTTCTTCTCTTTGTTCATTTCTGCTTTGGTCAAAATCTGGTTATGTATTACACACAACAAACAAGGAAATAAAATACTTTTGTATAATAATATGTATACTTTTTTTTTAATGTAATCTTTATTTATGGAGTAAAACTATCAGAAAATAAAATAGCTTATATCTTTTTTTTAAACATAAAGAAACCTCTAATTTCGGACATACTCCCTTTTATATAACTTGTTTGTTGATGTGGAGATGGTGAAGGAGTAGAAGTTAGTTGTTGATAAGAGGATGAAGGCACGTAAGAGATCGAAGTGTGGTCTTGTGGAGTTGTAAGAGATATGAGTGCGGTCTTGTGTTGATAGCGTTGGAATAGGAGTTAGTTGTTGAGGAGAGGCTTTATCTTCTCCTTACTTACATCATACACTCTACTTTACGAACGGCAATAAAAAAATTAGTTTAGTAGGCATTCTTGACCATGTCACTTCGCAGGGTCACAGGCTAGGGTGGATATGATTTGAATTTCGATAAAATTTCAATTATTTTATTTATTTTATACACTTTTTTTTTGGTTCTTTGTAAAATATCAGTGCCATAGGCTTCTACTCCGTTTATATGACTAAAATGTAAAAATTTTGTTATATAAAAAAGGTCATTCAGTATCACTGTTTTGTTAACTTCCTTCCGCGAGGGTTGCCGGCAGCGACTGCCAAAAGAAATCGGGCCGATGCGCCTACACACACGCAGTAAGGAGGGGGCGGTGCCCCGATCTAGGAAGCATCGGCTGATCTAGGAAGCATTTTTGCTCCTGCCAGCCGATTAAGGAAGCGATATCGGCCACGACTTAGGATGGCCCTACATACGACACGATTTAGAGGCAATCTAGGAGGCATCCCCACTACTCCACCCTAGATCGCTACCGATATCGTGTCGTATGTAGCCCGCTTTACCTGAGACCCTTTTAAATTAGTAACAAGGCATTACTCCATCTTAGTCTTCAGAAGTGGCAGTGGAAGTTTATTTTCATTCTTATATCAAGGTTAGAAGATAGAGTAGTTTAGATGTAGATGTCTAAATAGCAACAGCATCACAGGTAGAATGTGTGTTTTATTAAGTTAGGAAATTATTTCAGTTACAAATTACTGAATTTTAAACAGATCTCTATCATTATATATCATAGATTCACTGCAGAAAATATGCCTCTAGGCTATCAGAACGAATGACGAGCTACCTGCATCCTTACACACTCTAAACACACATATTGTGGTTGACATCTATTTCCAATGTACAATATAACACATCTCAAAAAATTAACATTACAATTCTAGTTACAATATAGAAGCCGATATTTATATCAATACACCTTAATATAGCAGCTTCTATATTGGAATAGAGTATAATTAAACCATTAGAAACAACAATGAGAGTAAATTTATTTCTTCCCTTTCTTAATCATCCTGTAACAGTCCCTTGCTGGATGTGCTCTACTTCCAGTGCAGGAAGGACTTGAATTGTTTAAACATAACAAATGTAACCATCACAACAAATCTAATAAAAATGTGTAGTGGTAGTGTCAGAATATCCACTAGCCCATATTGCCATGTGGTGGGGTGTGGTGTAATGGTATGGTGGGGTGTAAGAGGCGACAGAGGGAAACAAACCAGGAGATGGGCAGCAAAATCTTCCTAATAACAACTTAAAAAAACTGCAGTTACCAACCTGCCCGTGAAACATGGCGACCATGGCAAATATCCCATAGCAATCTATGGGGGGGCCTGTGTTCAGTAGTGAGCTTTTAATTACTGTAAAGACCGATTTACACTTCAACAAGTACAGTAGCGAGTTTAGTTACAGGGCAGTTGACAGTAAACGGTTAAGTGGGCAGTAGCGTTCAAATGTCTTCGTGACGAGTTTAGTTAAGCACATTAGTTCATAGTTCGTTGGAGTACGACGTTTCAGGACTACAGAATTTTTCTGGTTTTCGTTTAAGATGGTTTTAGGATTACGTCAAGAATTAAATAATCCAGTCAGAGAAGTATTAATGGTTGTTGTTAAAGTTTTTAAGAATTTTCATGAGTGCAGCATCTCGAGCAGATTTTATTTTACAATTTGAACTTCTACTATTATATAAACATTCGTGTTCTAAATACTCCTGTACAAATTTATACGTGATATCTACCGTCCATTTTATTATTAAAACTCAATATAAAACATATAAATATTCAATTAACAGTATCGTACAAACTTTATGGTGAGTTTAATTATAAAAGTACAATTGTACGTTTTGGCGCGCAAACGTTGTGTCCTGTCAACTTATGCACTGAGCTAAACTCGCTTGTTTACACCAACAGCGAGTTTAGTTGCGGGTGACGGGAGACGCGCGGGAGGGCAGCACTTCGCACTTAACTCGAAGAATAGCTCGGCCGGCTATCCCGTTCAACTTAATCGTTAACTTGTTATTTAACTCGCTTATTGCCGTTCAAACAAGGTTCAAACTTAACTCGCCAGGTTCGCAGGTTAACTCGCTACTGTACTTGTCGAAGTGTAAAGCGGGCTACATACGAGACGATATCGGTGGCGATCTAGGGTGGAAAGAAATCGGGGCTTTTATCGAGGCAGACCCTACACACGGGCCTGCCTAGCAGTACGCGTTTGGACTTGGAGCGGAACGCATATGCGGTAGAGTTCTTCAAAATGCCTCTGACTCTCTTAAAACACCAACGTGTTGGTTTGGAATTAGCCCTCTCGGTTTAGTATTCAAAAATAGAAAAAGAGGAGTTGCTGGGTGAAAATGGCTCCAAAAGAGACAAAAATTAAGCCACATAAATGTACTAAATGGTCTGTAATCCAAAGACATGATTAATTTTCTCCGGATGGATAAAGACAGTTTTTACAACCTTCTAGAATTTTTCTACATTTATGATTTCGCAACTTATATAAAAACATCAATTTCTCCTACCTATGCTATTTAGTTATTTCTTCTCTTTGTTCATTTCTGCTTTGGTCAAAATCGGGTTATGTAATATACACAACGAAGAAAGAAATAACAAAATCGGGTTATGTACTACACACAAAGAAATAAAATACTTTTGTATAATAATATGTATACTTTTTTAATGTAATCTTTATTTATGGATTAAAACTATCAAAAAATAAAATAGCTTATATCTTTTATCTTTTAAACATAAAGAAACCTTTAATTTCGGACATATTCCCTTCTATATAGCTTGTTTGTTGATGTGGAGATGGTGAAGGAGTAGGAGTTAGTTGTTGATGAGAGGATGAACGCTCGTAAGAGATATGAGTGCGGTCTTGTGTTGATAGCATTGGAATAGGAGTTAGTTGTTGAGGAGAGACTTTATCTTCTCCTTACTTACTTCATACACCCTACTTTATGAGCGGCAATAAAATAATTAGTTTAACAGGCATTCTTGAGTTCGCAAGGTCACAGGCTAGGGTGGATATGATTTGAATTTCGATAGATTTTAATTAATTTATTTATTCATTTTTTTTTTTGTGTTTTGTAAAATATCAGTGCCATAGGCTTGGCACTGATATTTTACAAAATACAAAAAAAAGGCTACTCCGTTCACATGTTTAAAATGTAAAATTTTTGTTATGTAAAAAAGGTCATTTAGTATCACCGTTTCGTTAACGTCCTTCCGCGAGGGCTGCCGGCAGCGACTGGCAAAAGAAATCGGGCCGATGCGCCTACACACACGCAGTACGGAGGGGGCGGTGCCCCGATCTAGGAAGCATCGGCTGCATTTTTGCTCCTGCCAGCCGATTAAGGAGGCGATATCGGTCACGACTTAGGATGACCCTACATACGACACGATTTAGAGGCAATCTAGGAGGCATCCCCACTACTCCACCCTAGATCGCCTCCGATATCATGTCGTATGTAGCCCGCTTAAATCGGTCTTAATGTAAAGCATAAAAGATGTGACTTAAAAAAATATACTAGCAACATTATAAGCATTACAAATACTTAAAATAATCGCTTTGAATGAGCTAAAATGCTTGGGTTTGTAGTGGTTCACTACAGAAGTCAAGTGGTGGATTCGAACCCACAAATTTCAGAGCTTGCAGTCTGTTTCCTTAACTATTAGGCTACTGTCACTAGTTAATTCAGTATTTATTACTAATCAAACTTGTTGGTATTTATTTTTATTTTAATAATTATCTAGATATTTCCTACTACGGAAAGGGTCTACAAAGCAGTGAACTGCTGGGAATGCAATTTAGAAGACTTTGTTTACCTAAAAAAATGTATTTTATTTTATTCTGAATAATATAATAATAAACAATTACATCATCATCATTACAGCCCTTCACAAGTCCACTGCTGAACATAGGCCTCCCCCAAGGAATGCCACAAAACACGGTCCTGAGCCACCTGCATCCATCGATTTGTTGCATTTCTTACCAGGCCCTCACTCCATCTACAGACTGCATTTACATAATAAGACTTAAACTAAAAAACAATTTATAAATAACATAAGTAATGATGTAAAAAGCACTATTATCTGCAAAGTATTATTAAATTAGTATGAATCAGAGTAAATAGAGTTTAAGTAAAAAAAATTGACAAACTCTACAACATGAAAAAATAGTTAGCAATAACCAATATGACTTGTGCAATATTTTTATTACTGAATGTCAAACTTTCAATGTAGCTAATGTAGTTGTATACAGTGCTACCTGTGTAAAATAATAAAAAACCTTTACTTACTTGCCATACTGATCAGGTATGATAAACCCTTGTGGGCCAGGACGGCCTGAGTCTCCTGCCCAAAAGAATGTATCTTCTCCAGTACCATCATAGTTAAAATTTATGAGTAGAATTGTCCAATCATCTACAGCATACACATCACCAGACACCTGTTAATTGAAAAATCATGCGGACTTCAAAAATTGTCAACTTTTAAACTGTTTGGATTAAGTAGATTGATGAAAGAGAAACTATTTTAAACACAGAATTACTCCAATAAGTTCAAAGCTGTATCAAGAACTTTCGTTCTTTAAAGATAAAATTGAAAATGAGAAAAAAGGTAACCAATTTAAAAAAAAATAGAATAAGGGTAATAAACAAGCACACAGTCTACCTCATGGTAAGTGGATGCTGTGGCCCACAGACATAAACATATCTACATTTATCCTCGATTAAGAATCAAAAAGCAGATGTGTTGTCATGAAATGAAATGAATGATTCTTATTCACTATAGATTATTGTCATTATTAGTCATTTTTTATTTACCACTGGTTCAAAAAAAAACCTCTGTCCTGGGAAGAACCTGCAAGACCCAGTGAGACTTTTTTAAACATATTTCAATTTACAATAAATTTATTTTGTACAGTTTTTGAATAATTTTTATAGAATCAGCATGGTGGAGATCACCTCATTCCCAGGGGTTATTTTCATATATGAATTCTTTTATATTATAATAACCCTTTTTGTACAATTTTTCCTTAATAAAATATTTAAACTTGTTTAATGAGGACCCCTGAGGACTAAGATGGAATGCCTCATTTCAGCAGTATTAAGCTGCTATTTTATGCTGGTATTCTGTGAGAGTGCGGTCATTCCCCGGTCGGGCCGACCCATTTGTGCTACAACCATAAATACCTGCAGAGTGGTTCTACCACATAGGAAAATGAAAATGCATTGCCATATTTTATGATTTTCTAAGTAAGAAGTTAAAATACTGATCATTTTTATCAAGATTAAATTATGAAAATACTGATAAGTCATTCAGTACCCTTAACCGACGAGCATGTATGCGTAGGTATATGGATGTGGAGGAGGCGAGAGAGGTATGTCAGGATTGTGTTTAATGGAAGTCTATATTCTCTGTTTATCCCTCTGAGTGACAGGCACACATATATGAAAATAGTGTAAGCCCATACAACCAGTCTCTGGCAGAGACCATGGACTCCTATTTGACACAATCCTGTCACCTCTCTCACTGCATTCACATCCATACACATCTACTTACTACACTGCACTTACATGCTTGTTGATTAAGATTACACTTAACTTAGTCAATCTTTAATCATCAGATCTTTATTATCTTCATCTTTATCACTTACTTTCATTAATAAATCTATAAATAAAATATTGCCAATAAGTTTTATTTCTCCATGAAATAGTATATTTAGTTTTAAAAAGAATTGGTAGTGTAGTACTACTTATATATAATTGATCATAATATATAATCAATTTACCTGAGAATCCAGTACTCTGAGTAACATGTATTAAAAATTTTATGAAATTACATTATTGAAGAGAATGATTCATGTGGAAAGTTGCGAAATTTTTAGAAAACTATTTTATAATAATGTTTACCTGATGATGATATGAATTCAGCTTGCCTATGAATTTACCACGATATGGTCCTTCATCATCTTGGGAATAGCAGTCTGCAACAATGATATTTAAATAGGTATAGTAGTTTTGGAATCTCCATTGTATTCTTAGAGAAACTTTCTACGGTTAAACAAAGTCACACGATTTATTCAAATGTATATACCTTGAGCTACAAATACGAGCAATGCAAACCATAATATAAACATTTTACTATTAACTCTTTTAGTTTAAATCATAACATAATAACTTTTCTTTCACAAATCCAATTTTTACTTGTTACAAACTTGATTTACACTTCCTGTTTGCAGTTTGCACACTTCACTTGTCATTGTCAGACAGTACAGTACAGTTTACATTGGGTGCGTTTGGAGAAAAAGGTTTGTTTTGAAGTAGAGTTCAAGTTTTTCTTTTAAGTAATATAATGACATGAATAAATATATACATGTTTTAAAATTTGGTAGTTTTTGCTTTAAAAAATTTCCTAGAGGAAAATGTGTTTTGGATCATTCTCAATTGTGTTGACTTAAGCAAGATCGTGTCTCCTATTGGTTAAAAATACCTTTACTTAAAATATCCACCAATCCTCTTTAATATACTTTCACTTTTACTCAGTTTCAAGTTACTTTGTAAGTGAAATCAAATATAAAGCTGAGAACAAATTATTTGTTCTCAGCTTTATAACAGCTTGACAATCTAAGTAAAGTTGTTCAAAACAACTAATAGCACACTACAGACTATAAACTATAAATTTCTAGCGCGCTATTAAATACGCTATGTGATAGCGCGCTATTTATAAGAGAGCGTGTAGGAGGTCGGCAAGCGAATTAAGTTTTGCAGCACGCTATATCTCATAGCACGTTACATTACATGTCGTTCGTTGGATAGACCGCGTGCTAAGTCACGTAACGTACGTAAGTAATAAGTCACATTTTAGACTAAAATAAAATAAAGTGGTGAAGAGAAACCAATAAACACTCTTTCATACTTTTCAGGCTTACGAATTTCTATAGTCGTTGTTAACGTTATTTTAACCTTATGTGAATTATAAACAATTAAAGGCGCATTTAAAACTTTATTGATTGTAATACAAAAACCAACTATTTATACACTTTACACTATTGTATACAGATTTGTATCTATATTTTATTTACGTTTAAAAACATTAATTAGATTAATTTTGTGGCAGATAACTGCGATCTTCGATCACTTATAAATATACAGTATACACTAACTCAGAGTTGCCCAAACTTTTTTGTATCGTAGACCCCTTGCCATGTATTTCCGTGTTGGGTAGACCCCCTACTTACCTGATATTGATTTCCTGTAAATTTCTAACTGTAGTGAAGTTTAGTGTTAAAAACTTAAAGTAAAAACACATGTTAATTTATACATTTATTAATTGAATTTAAATTAAAACTACTCAAAATAAAATTTTGTATCTGTTATTTAAAATATACGTAGCATTAATAAACATAAAATAAACTATAAACAAAATAACATAAGCAATAAGTCAATATTTTTAGTGAGAAGGATGAACCTGATGCTTTAATAATAAATTATCAACATTTGGCGTCAATTTTGTAAAATCTCCTGGGTTAACGATGTCCAGTCTGTTTCTTTTTTTTCGTTAGAAGATTGGTAACAGTGCTGTACCCCCTTTCCACTAGGTATGACGATGGAAAGGCAATTAAAAATTTGCTTGCTATATTCCATAATACGGAATAAGTAACAGGTATGTTGTTTTGCAGCCAGAATTGCTGATATCCATTTTTAAACTGAACCTTAAGTTATTCGTTTGTACTTAGTTCAGTCAGTTCCTCTTGTATTATGACATTCGTTTCTTCTGTCACCATATGGATTAATTATCCAAGGTAGTATTACCATAGTCAAAATATCCTCAAACCTAGATTCAAAATCTGAATAGAGGGCATTTAAATGTTGAACGTAAGTTGAAACGTCGTCTTCCTGGCAGCTTGTCTGTGACAAATTGGGGAACTGAGAAAATTCGCCCCGTCCAATATTTTGCTTCATTAGTTTAACTCTGGCAAGAAACGCTGATAAGATGGACTTTTTTTTAATCAAATTTAAACTGTCGCCTTGTAATTGCAAATTAACCATAATAAATTTTGTAAACAAATCTGTTAAATAGGCGATATTTGTTTTCCTCTTCATTAAATTTTATTTTAAAATTTTATCTTTAGTATCCAGAAATTCTAAAATAGTCTCAAAAAGTGCAAAAACTCTTTTCAAACATAAGCCTTTCGACAGCCAGCGTACTTCAGTGTGAAGGAGTAATTGATGAAAGTGTTCGTCATTTTCTTCACACAAATGCGCAAATAACCGCATATTCAACGCGTTGCTTCGGATTCGGTTTACTGCATCAATGACTAAATGAAGTGATTCATGAAATCTAACACTAAAATTTTTAGCAACTAAATGTTGTCGATGGATGACGCAATGTATTGCTAACACCCCTGACACATTTTGTTTTAAATAGCTTATAAATCCACGATAACGTCTAACCATGGCAGGTGCTCCATCTGTAACTACTGATATTATATTTGATAAAGGAATTGCTTTTTCAATTAAGTAATCCTTCAAAACATGAAATATTGATTCACCTTTAGTGTCTGTTATCAAAGTTCTTGCGAAGAGCAGTTCTTCGTAGATTTCTTGATTCATAATAAAACGAACATACGCCAATAATAATTAAAAAATTAAATTAAAAAAAATTAAAAATTGTTTATTGCGTTTCAAAAGGTAGTAACAAACAAGTGGCAAGGGCCCCTGTACGGGGTTGGTATAACCTGTGTTACGGGGTACCCTGCTCTTCCAACAGATAAATTTTAACAATTTGAAACATAGGATATTACATATTATATTAGTGCTTTAACAATCCTTAAGACATGAATTGATGACATTTTTGATACTTAAGAAAGAGTGAAAGTGTGTGTGTGTGTGTGTGTGTGTGTTATGCGTGCGCGCGCGCGCGCGCGTGTGTGTGTTTAGCGAATAAGCAGTTCTGTTTCTTCATAGTTGAGGCTAAGCAGAGTAGTTGTTAGCAATTTTTTTTAATTTAGCACAAGTGAGGGGATACATGTTAAGCCAACTATTTAATTTATTATATAGATGTTTCGATTGATAGGCAAATTGTTTTTTCTTAAATTTGGTTTTACAATATGGAATATTGAAAACAGGTAAAATTCTACGTTTTAGTGTCTGAGGGGCAGTGTATGGTAAAGTGCTGTGGGTTCGAATGGCACTCTTTAAAATGTACATTTGGCGGGTTGTTAAGATTTTGTAAGAATTGTGTAGTTCATGAGTTGGGAAACGGATTGGTTTAAAGAACATCACTTTCAGTAATGCTCTCTGAGCCCTTTCAAGAGTTATTAAATAGGACTTAGCTGCTCCACCCCACGCTGTAATGCAGTAGCTTAAAACAGATTGGGCTAGTGCTTTATACGTACATATAAGGATTTTATTATCTGCGACATGTCTGAGCCTTCTAAAAACCCACATAAGCTTTCTTACCTTGTCAATGGTACACTCAATTTGTTTGTTCCATATAAGATGCTGGTCAATAGCGATACCTAGATATTTAATAGTAGACGATCTAGCAATATCAACACATTGACAATTTTTCGCCTGGTGTTGGGAGCAGCTATGAATTTTGAGAAAAAGTCCGAGTGTGGTAAGGTAGATTTTCGTATCGTAAAAGGAACAAATTGGGTTTTTGATACATTAAGTGTTAATAGATGTGATCTTAAGTAATTTGATATATATCGTAATCCTGATTCAGTCGTAACTCCAAGAGAATCCCAACTCTTCACTGAAAATCAGCGCGGTATCATCCGCATACGTAAATATATCGCAATTGGGAAGTTTGAGACTACAGAGGTCATTCACATATATCAAAAACAATGTCGGTCCGGGTACACTGCCTTGTGGAACGCCGTAAGTAATGGGAGATGACTGACTGATAACGTCACCAAGTTTTAGATGCTGTAGGCGATTCGTTAGGTAGTCTGTGAATAGCTTATGGGGTGTCCCTCTTATGCCAATGTGATAAAGCTTATGTAATAATATTGGAATTGAAACAGAGTCGAACGCCTTTGCAAGATCCAGGAAGACGCCGACACATTTATAGCCTGCATCTAGGTGCTTACAGATAGTGTCGGAAAGTGCCAGAACTGCGTCTTCAGTGGAGACGCCATTTCTGAAGCCAAATTGATTATTTGATAGCAAGTTGTTTTTGTAAAGGAATTCGTTAATGCGGTTGTTAATGAGCTTTTCCAAAATTTTTGCCAGAACTGGAAGTACAGAGATGGGCCTATAATTTTCAATTTCATCTTTATTTCCACTTTTATAGATGGGTAGTAACAATAGTTTTTTTGAAAACAGAGGGGGAAACATCCTTTGTCGAAACAGAGGTTATACACATGACAAAGGACGGGGGTGAGATAATTTTTGGCCATTTTAATAAAAGTAGTAGGAATGTTATCCCACCCGGGGGCGGAGTCGTTAGATAAGTTACAGATGATTGTATTAATTTCTGCTGTATTTGTTGCTAAAAGAACTAAAGAATTGCATGTAGAGGGACATATAATATTATTTATGCCACGAATAGAATTATAAGACATAGGGGACGATAATAAGTTTTCAGCCAGACGTTTACCTAAGTTAGAGAAGTAATTATTAGCACAATTTGCAGCTTCCATCGGTGTGGATTTAAGTGAGAGTAGGTTATGCATGTAGTCATTTTTATTATTGTTTATATTACATATAGATTTTATAGTTTTCCACAGTAATTTAGGATTTTTATTAGCCCTCGTTAAATTGTTTCTTTCGTGCATTATTTTAAGTTTTCGAACAAGTTTACTACAATAATTTCTATAACGTGTATAGGTTACTTTCAAGATTTCATTAAACGGATACTTTTTTAGTTTTAGATGAAGTTTGTCGCGATTGCGAAGGCAACGTAAAACTTCAGAGGTTATCCAGGTCTTGATATGTATCTTTTATTGAAGGGACACTTTTTATAGTTTGGTTGTTTTTAATCGCAGTGGAGATTTTATTTACCAAAACCTGGGCAGCTTCAGAAGGGTCTGTTATTGTTAATATATCAGGTAAGTCCGCCTTAATGTCATTCAAAGTGGCATCAAAATTGATTGAAATTTTGGTTTTTAGTGCCAGATTGCGTCGCAGAGGTTCAAACATCACATCAAGAATGACTGTACAGTGGTCAGTGGTAGGGTTAGTAAGAACAAGTGATTTAGTAGGGTGAGACGTTTTCAGCATCATGTGATCATAGCTCATTTTATCACGGGTTGGGAGCCTGTGAGCTGGGAGTATCCCATAATAAGCGAGTGATGTTAAATAGTTATGACAGTTTGGATCTTTAGAGTGGATTTTGATGTCGATGTTTATGTCACCCGTTATAATAATATTTGGATAGCAATTATATTGTATGAGAAGAGATTGAAGGGATGATACGAATTCGTCAGTATTTCTAATAGATGGAGTGCGATAAATGCCGATTATAACAGTATCGTAAAGAGTCAAAACAAGGCAGGACGAGTTTGTAATGTTCGGTTCAAATACATTGATGCTTAGATTATTTTTTACATAAAATACTACGCCATCACATTGGTTTAAGATATTTTTTGTAAAGTGTGTGTTATAATTATCATTTAGTTTGGGAATACTTTTTATTTTTGAGAGATGACATTCAGTCATAACTGGCACGTTGAAATCGGTTTTAGTTGAGTGGAGCATAGCTTGAAAAATATCAAGATTTTTGTATATACTCCTTATGTTTTGGGTAAGAATGTTTAGGTGACTTTTTGTAGAGATGTGTAAATAACACTCTTCAGGCGTGCAAGTGACGGCCTGAGCTATACTAATATTGTCTATAACATTATAGGGATGGGACAAATTATCCATAAAAAAATAGGTAGTTTTTTTGTGTGTAGTGAATTTGTCTAATAGGTATTTATTTAATATCATTTGTATAAAGGAGTTGTAGGTAGATGATTACCACGAAAGAATAAAAGTGAAAAATAATATTCCTACATTGGTTATACTAGACTCTCAGATCAAAGTTAATTATTGCAATCAATCTACAGTGTGACTGCAAGGTATTATGTTTAGCTAGCAAAAACAGAACTGTGTTGAAATGGAGAGGTGTGTGAGTGTAATATGTGTTTGTGTGTTGGAGTAAGTGTTAAGGTAAATGTGAGACAAGAAAAGTGTGTAAGTTATGAATGAGTAACTGGCAAAAACAGAGTTAACAGAACATAGATGCAACATACAGCTAAAAAAGTTAAAAATATAACCTATAATAATTGCATGAACCCTTTGAAAAACATGGGTCCACTTGAAACTAAGTACACAGATCATACATAGTCATTTGTTGGCCTCATAAATACCTTTTATTTGTGCTTCATTCATAATTTTTATGATCGGGGATGAGTCATTTTTCCGCACCAAAACTTCACCTACCGAGGTCCAGCAATATTTATACTTCAGGTTTTTTGACAATTCCCTCGCTAAGTAGTATAGTTTATTACCATTAGGTGTGAGATGGTCAGAGATAAAAATAGGGGTACATGTTCCCTTTAGACCTAGGTTCTAGGTATTTAATTTATTATTCTTATTATGGTTATTGTACTTTTTAGCGGCGCTCGTAATGTTCATTTTCTGGACATAAGTTGACATTTCGACAACAATAGGCTTTTTATCGCCCTTTATGGTCGTCCTGTATATATCCTTAATGTCATTACTTTGTATATTGACCTTAAGTGATGTAGATAAATTGCTTACCATGCTCAACAACATTTCTTTGGATTCCTTTTCCGAGCTTGGGACATTTTTCAGTTCAATTGAACATTTACGTTGGGTTTTGATGATATTTTCCACCTTATTTTCAAGTATAGTAATATATTCCTTCTGTTTATGCCTCTCTTGCTCCATAAGGTCCACTTTTTTACACATGTCGTCGTATTTGGTTGAGAGAAAGGTCAGTGATTTCTCTATGGATCTCAACGCAGATGTTATTTCTGTTCTTTCGCTGTTTTGCTGATCCATCCATGAAGTAATCATCTCCTTCATTTCTGCCTTAAAGTCCACTAAATCAGTCAGAATTTCTTCGGAGCGCTTTCTCTTAATTCGTGAGCTGACAAAACTGGGAGGCGATGTTTCTTTGTCGTCGGGGATCTTAGGCAGGTTGGAATCAGAATTGCATTTTTCCGGTGTTCGAAACATTTTCAGAGCTCTCGTACGGCCTCAAACTTATTTTCCGCTTAACGAAGTGTAGAACAAATAGATAGGTTATATTTTTTAGTCGAGACTTACGGCGTCACTTGTAGTGTGTTGGCAGGTGGTAGATATGCTTCAACTAATGTCGTAGTCTCGTAGCACGTATTTCGTAGCGAACGTAGTAGCTGTGGCTACGGCGGTTGACGTAGTTACAGCGATCATGCAGGGAGGAAAGAGATGAAAAACAAGCACCAACCGTCTTCTTTTGACACCGCTTGCTGCGTCAGTGAGCAAAGATGCGATGCAGGAACGAGAAGGCAATTATTGAGTCTACTATCTCTTCCGCACGTTCCCCACCGCAGCCGGTCGCTGGCGTTGAATAGTCAAATGTTCTTAAATATTATTGATAATTTTTAACTATTTTGAGCCTTATTGACACACGCGATCGCGCACGTCCACTCTCAGCGAAATCACGGAAGGAAGAGGAATGCTGCATTAACAGGTAAAGTTGACTCGTCCAGTTGTATAGAGAAATGGATCGTTTGTAAATAATTACATAAGAAGCTTTCAATATCAGAACTCATTTTATCAATACGTCTTTCAACAGTATTATTGCTTAAGGGAATTCTTTTAATGATATTAGATGCAGGTTTGTTTAAAACAGTTTTTAAAACCTCTTCAACGGCTGGCAAAATTAACTTCTCTCCGATAGTATGCGGTTTTCCGGATTATGCTATAAGTAACGAGATATTGTAAGACGCCCGCAAACCATCATTTATTTGTGACGTCGATGCGAACATTCTGTCCAGTATTTTAAATCTTTCTCTGTTTTATCAGGGTGGCATCTTCTCAGATAATCTTGCAGTTTAGATGGTTTCATAGCGTCATTGCCCAAAACTTTGTTGCATAAAAGGCACGTAGGCAATTGTTTGTCCGGCAATGATGGAATGAAGCCAAATTTCAAATAATCGACACTGTACTGTCTACATTTATTTTTAGATTCGGACATGGCATCAGTCATCTGTGGGCAAAATTAAATTATTTAAATAAGACAGAAAATCCAGCAGCTGTATATTAAAAATATTTTTTGATTTTTCCGAAAACATTCCTTAATTCTAACATCTTCTTGCAACAATTAGCTCGAATTACGGAGATTGCACTGTGATTATAATACCGATTGCTAAAACTTTGAAAAAGAAACTATCGAAGAGTATTCGTGTAATTTTGCATGATTGAATATTAAACTACTAATAACTAAAGTCATGATTGGCGTAATTTATCTATCTTTGCTAACTACGAGTACAAAACTAAAATTTAATAAAAAATAATGTACTTACTTTTCTCCAGCACTCTCAAACAAAATAACACTGACTCACTATAATTTGTGTGATATACTATCTGTTTATATTTTTTTAAATATTTTCTTAGCACTTTCCTTTTCAAGATTCAGGAAACGAATAAACGTATTTGTCCCACATTCGTATTTATAGATTGACGAATTGAACTCAGGTTTTTACAAGTTCAAAATGTATTGCGACCACAAAGCGAATACCAACATCCTACAACTTCAACAATTTTACAAACATATATAATACATTTTTTACTTCATAGGTACTTTTATAAATAATATATATGTTTTGATATTATAAGATAGTATGATGTAAGTAAATAGGTACTATCAGTGTATGTGTTGAGATCCACTATCGTGGACCCCCATTTTCATTTCATTGACCCCCAAATTTTTTTTCGCTGACGTAGACCCCTTGCAGGTTGTCATAGACCCCTAGGGGTCGATATAGACCACTTTGGGAATCACTGCACTAACTAAACAACATCTAACACTAAATTAGATCACGCGTGATGAATAGCGTGTTACTATGAATATAAATTATTATAGATAAAATTTGCGTTACACGTCCACTCCTAATAGCGTTGCTGCTAGAACTAGGTGCCCCTAAAGGTGGGCGAAACAGTTATATTTTCCTAATTCGTTAAGATGTTGTAATATATTTTTGTAACTGTTGTTTTAAACTGTTATAATATATTATAACAGTTTAAATATTACATTGTACACGCGGTTAGTTCAGTTCAGTTGTCGGCTGTGTTAGCGTTTTGTTGTGTGTTGTTACAACGATTATAAATATGATTATGATGGATGTGATAATATCAAACAGACCATGGCTAAAAATATTTTTAGGGTGTTTTAGCATCCTTTGAGTGTTCCATGTTTTAAAAGAGAATTATTTCAAATATGTATGTTAAATTCAATGAACTTCCCTTCCAACTTTTTATAGGCATAGGACTGTCTGAATGTATGTTAAGCTGTATAATTATATACTCATATTTTCAACCATTTTAAGTAAAAATAACTCATTCAAGCGTAGTTAGAAGTTAAGATGTTATGTACATTTTATTTGAGATTTTAACTGGCGCAACATTATTGTGCAATTTTATATACAACATGCAAAATCCTATCTATATTCTATATTACACTAAACAATCACAATTACTTTAGGTATAAAACTTTACGAAAAACAACAATAGATTCGTCACGTAATATGTAGCGCCTGCTATCAAAACATTACGTATATAACAGATAACAGTGTCATTGTCATCTCAGCTAGACAGCTAACAGAACACTAATATATTATAACAGCTAAAAAATTAAACAACAGGCAAAACAACAGCTAGCAATGAATGAAATAAAAGCAAATAGATTTATCTTTATACTTTAGCGTTTGTAAAATAAGCTCTAAGAGTGTTACGTTAGAGTTTAAATTAATGTGAACCATACACGATCCTTGTGCTGCTTCTCGGCCGACGACGGTTAGACCGTAAACTAAACACAGATGATAGTTGTTACTGTTACTTTTGCTAGATGGGGCTTTCCAACGATAATGAATATATTATAACAGTCAATGGTTGATTATTCTAATGTGTTGTAAAATTATAAATATATAATGAAATATATTATCTGTTGTATATTATAACGCCCAACTTTAGTTGCCGCTAGATATTACTCGTACTTAATAGCGCTAAAGCGCCATAGCGCCCTGTCGACAACTTACATAGCACGCGCTATGCGCTATGAAGAGATAGCGCGCTATAATATGGCGCTACGCGCTATATTAACCACCATTACTTATAAAGCTTTGACTTATATCTCTATGCTTAAAAGTGTTCCCCGCCTAAAATTAAAATCCAAGCCCTATTACTACGGTATTTTTATTTATTTTGTTATATCAATAAGTTAGAATATGACATTTTATTAATGAGCCGTATAATGGCTGCGTAGGTAATTTGATCATCCCATTAAGTTGTTCTTCACTTACTGATTGGACATCGTAATTTAAATACACAAAGATCTCATGGCTTCCGATAGATAGAGGGGTATAACCATCTCGTTTGTACTAGACGTAAATAAAAAACGGGTGCTGTACTACTCTTAGAACAGAGTTAAAATGTGAGACGTTTGTTAGGTGGGGTTAGGCTACTGTAAACAGTATGGAAAAAAAACCTTACGTGCTGTCTTTAATTTCAATAAAAACATAACAAATATATTTGTGAGAATGAAAATGTAACATATAGTAACGGAATATATTGCAAATGATATAGCTTGCACACTCATTCTATCTGGGCTTGATAGTCTACCTTTTAAAAATCCCGTAGTATTGGCTAGCCTCCCGGTATGTTTTCCTTACATCTTTTCGTTTCACATCTTTGACAGAGCCTTGAATATCTGTTAAAGACTATGGTGGACTTATTATTGTTCTTATATTTCTAGGCAAGATGTGTACCTAAAAAAGTTTCCAATTATCCATCACCAGTTGTAGATGCCAAAAGTACGGGTCAGAATTATCGAAAAGATGTCCTGATCTACCGATAGTTTGGAAAAAGCTGTGCAGCTAATAATTTATCAACAAGGCTATTCGATTTCCAATGAATCCCGAACTATTTTCAGAAGTGATTATATACTCAAAGAGTATATAATCACTACGTTTTACAGTACATATAGCCGTAATGGCAAGACGGACTATCCAGCACCACTATACAGCCACCGCGGATGTCGATTATAATTATAATTCATAATTCATTGTGCTACCGGTTTCATAACCTGTTCATATTTCTGGAAAGGCTTGTTTATAGACAAAACTAGATAACGAATAATATTTAATCTATAATTTGTTGATGAATCTAAAGATGTCGTCGAAAATCGTCAATTAAATAACAAGCATTTATTCATTTTATCTCATATTTAGGGTTTTCTTGATTGTTTTTAATTTTGCGTCGTTAACAGGATGATGCTGACACCCATCTCGTTTCAGTTCCCTCCGTCGCCTTTTATGACACCAAAGGGATGGAAAGGCCGAAGAGCATCTGCTACATTATTTCATTTTTTGTGTAATGTAATATCAGACTCATTACATACAAAATTATTACAAATAAAGTGTACATATATAGAATTTTAAATTTACTGTATTCGTACATTCCAAAAACCTCCACTTTACATTTGTATGTATGGAAATAGAAAAATGCATTAAAGTTTACAAAACTAAAGATGTCTAATACGCAACTAAAGATGTCTATTAAATGGAACTAAATAATATATTTAAATGAACTGTTATTACGGGAGCAATGACACACTTATTGCGAAAGAATGCGTCGAAGGAAATCGCCACCGTTGTTACAAAATATGCAAATACCGGTTCTTAAGTTTCTGCAAAGCCAGTTATTAATAAAACAGATTTTAAAATGGATTAACTAGACACCATAACGACCGGAGATTCGCCCTAAACATAGTAATGTTGCGCGCCTAAGTTGACGTCTGGCACTAGCGCCATCTAGTGTCGGGTAACAGAGCGAGGAGAGCTTTCCAAAAAATGACATGACTAATATTTTAACCAACAGCGCCATCTAGTATCGAACTGAAGAACTAAGCTTTCTACTAAGCCTAACTAAGCCTCACACTCGAACTTTCTGCGTCTGGTCGGTCGGCGCCCGTATCT